TGTACCGCACGTATCTCTGTCTGTTGAGGTGTACCGCACGTATCTCTATGTGTTGAGGTGTACTGCACGTATCTCTTCTAACAGTTTTTCCCTAAACAAACAGATGCCACTTTCTATAAACTTCAAGTCTGCCACACTGCTGACCTCGGTTGTGTGTAGACATACATGTGCATTTGTTATTAATCATTCTGCCTATCTCTCTTTTTTTTTTTCATTTTGCTTGCAGGATCTTAGTTTCCTGACCAGGGATTTAACCCACGGCCTCAGCAGTGAAAGTGTGGAGTCCTAACCACTGGACTGCCAGGGAATTCCCTGCCTCTCTCTTCTTTGGTTAATTTCCTGAAGGATATAGTTTCCCAAAGTATCCAGCATTTTTTAACCCAGACAGGAGAAGTTCTAAGGAGATGTATTTACTGCAGAGAGAGACAACCCTGTTTTTCATAGTTCTAAAGGGGAGAACCACACCAGTGGGGGGCGGGTGCTGCAGAGGGAAGAGGTGGAGGTGGGGCTTCTGCACACACCATTGGATCTGTACAGGAAGCACATGTTCACCTATAGGCCCAGGGGATGCGGCCCTCAAGTTGCTCTCAAAGGGAAAGAGCAAGAAAGGTGGTCAGTGCAGTGGTGAGCACCAAAGGACACCTAACATGGAACTCGGCAAACCTTCCCAGAAGGAGGAGCCCCTGGACTGGCCTTATTGAAAGCAGAGAGGTGCCAAGGTGGAGGTGGGCAGGCATCCCAGGCCAATGAGCATGAGATAACCTGAGGCTCTAGCCTTGGGGGAGTGGGAGTGGTCAGCCCTACCTGAGTATGTGAGCTTGGGCAGGGTTATGACTTCTTGGGGGTCACCCGGCAACCACTAGCTGTGAACTGCAGATAGGTAAGGACCTGTGTTTACTCTCATTTTTCCTAACATTTCATGTCAGATTGGCCTCCAACCTTTTAGTGTTGTGGGCTGGTGTATCCAGAAGTTAAGGCTTGTGTGAGATTAGGGAAGGTTCATTACTGCTTTTCGTAGAGAGGAGTTTTAATAGGGCTGTCATGAGCCCTGTAACGCATGGCCGACCCGCTTTCTCTCCTTTGAGTAATTGGGTGACTCAGCACGTCCTGTCCCCAGGATGCTGCGCATGAGCGGAGGCTCCCAGCCCTCGCTGGGGGGTCCAGCGCTGCGGCAGCCCCCTGTGGCCTGACCAGGGCCTGTCTGGTTGTTCCAGTACAGGCCACGTGGATGGCCTACGACATGGTGGTGATGCGCACCAACCCCACACTGGCGGAGTCCATGCGGCGGCTGGAGGACGCCTTCCTCAACTGCAAGGAGGAGGTGGAGAAGAACTGGCAGGAGCTGCTCGATGAGACCAAGCGAGCGCAGGAGGCCCGCCCGCCCCACACGGCCCGAGCAGGCTTGGCAGAGTAGCAGCGGCCCCGGAGCAGGGCTGTGCGCAGAGCTTGTTTCTCAGTAAACTTCTTTCCAAGCACAACCTAAGGACCCTTTCTGTCCCACCCAGCTGCATATCAAACCTTGTGGACAGCACATGAGAAGGGCGAGATGCAGAGGCTCTCGATGAAGTAGACGTACTCAGTGCCAGTGGTGCCGAACTTAGAATACAAAAACTAAAAGGGAGCCAGACGGGGACAAACCAGGTCAGAGGGTGGGACAGGCAGCAGTATTCAGTCAGATTTATTTACCTTCCTACAGTGAGTTCCAAAGCGAATAAGGGGGAACATTAGTTATTCAGTTGTGTATTTGGGGCACCAGGCTGGGCACTCTCGAGTGTGTCCTTATGTTCTCACAGCCCCGTTTCAGACAAGAAAAGCAATGTTAGATGTCTCTTCCAATCCACACAGCTAATAAGGGGCAGAACGAGGGCGAAACCCAGGCCTCACCTAGGAAGGGGGCTGGCGGGAAGTGGGGCGGGCTTCTGGAGGGGCTGAGCCGGCAGGAGAGACCCCACCAGGCTGCAGAGGGGTATGAGCTGAGTGGTCCTGCACGGCCTGGGCTGGGGTCTGGGCAGGGGCTAGAGCCAGCAGGGCGCTTTCACAGACAAGGGTTCTAGGCCCTTGAGGTCAGTCAGACAAAAGAGGGCTTCAGAGCTGTTCCAGCGGAGAGCCAGCCAGGCTCCCAGAGGCCTCAGGACAGGTAGAAAGTCCCAGAGGCAAGGATGTTTTCCTGGGGACTTGTTTGCTCCCTGGTCCCCCTTCCCACCCCCTTGAGGGCTCCTTGCCTGGCCTGGAGCCCCAGGGACAGACCCTAGGAAGCAGAATGTGTTCCCAGCCATCTCCTTCCTCGGCTCAGGGGTTGCCAGGCTCCTCAGTGGGCCAAGTCCTGGTGCCCAGGGACACGTCAGGCTCTCGGAGCCCAGGGAGTCCCACAGGCAGGTAATTCCCAGGCAGTGGGGTGGTGCTGTGAGAGAGGATCTCTGTCTGGAGGAGGGTGGGTGAGCCAGCAGAGGCGCTGGGTAACCAGAGAGGGAATTAAGTCCTAGAGGAAGGAAGCAGCTTGGGTGTGGTGGGAGGTAGGATACCAGGCTAGGGACACCCAGCGACCAGCTCCCAGATGCGGGGAGCCTGGGCTCTGAGGGGAGAGGCTTAGGGGAGGGGAGCGGGTGGAAGGCGGAGTCAGGAGGCTTATTAGAACAGAAAAGGAAAGTTGTCCCGGGAACAAGGGCAGAAAGTTCTGGATCACAGCCTCCTCCCCGTGCCCCTCCTGCCCTCAGACTCTGCCCCAGGGTCTCCCCGGAGAGCAGTGCTGAAGTCCCTGGTGTTCCAGCAGCCACTCAGAGGGCAGTCTGCAGCGGGTCCACGGGGGGCAGCGTCAGGATGAATGGGCAGAGGACCCCTTTGGCCCCCGGGGGAAAAGGCTTTAGCTCCTTGGCCTGGAACTGGGCGGTTCCCTCGGAGACCGTGAAGGTGGCTGTGACCTGGTGGTTGAGGCAGTAAATGGTGTTGCCCAGCACGGCGCAGCGGAGCGGGGCGGGGTCGGGCAGGGGCAGGGAGGCGGCCCGGCTCCAGGAGCTTGTCACGGTGTTGTAGCGCATCACCGCGGCGCCCACGCCCCGCAGCAGGTCGAAGCGGTACAGGAAGCCCCCCAGAGCCACAATGTCGCTGGACCGCCGGTGGCTGGCACTGTAGGGGCACTCGTCCCACGCGTCCTTCGCGGGGCTGTACCTGAGCAGGCGGTAGAAGAGGTGGCCGCCGGTAACATAAATGTCCCCCCGGCAGGCCACAGCTTCGTGAGCCACGGGGAAGCTGCCTGCAGGGAGGGGCGCACAGGAGGTCCAGGCGTCCGTGCGCGGGTCGTAGCGCTCCATGCTGTACAGACACTCGCCCCCAATGGCGTAGAGCAGCCCGTCCAGCGCCACCAGTTTGAGCTGGGCACGCGCCTGCCGCATGGGCCGCACCTGGCTCCAGATGTCGGTCAGAGGGTTGTAGCAGAAGACCTCGTTGGAGCAGACGGCCTCGGCACCGGATCCACGGATGCCCCCCGCCAGGAACAGATAGTTGTGCAGGGTGCAGAGACCGCAGCCCCGGAGCGGGGCCTCCTGGGGCACCTGGGTCAGGGGCCGCCACGCGTTCTCCCGGGGGTGGAACACGTACAGGAACGTGCGGGGAGGCGGGGGCGCGGGCCGCACCGCGTGAGTTTCTTCCACCCCACGAGGGTCCCTTGTGAGCCCCGAGCGGCTCACCCGGTAGAGGCTGGGCAGCACGAGGACCCCCAGCACCGCCTGGCCCCGGCTGGTCCGAAGGCTCAGGATACGCTCCCGGTCAGCGCCACTCAGCTGCCGGTAGAGGCTCGGGTCTCCCAGCACGTGTAGCAGATTGTCACTCATCCAGGCATAGGTCTCCTGGGCCAGGCGGGGGTCCCCGTGCTGCTGGGCAAAGGCCAGTGCCTCCAGGCAGCTGCCCAGGTCCAGCCATCGCTGCAGAGCCGCTGCCGCCGAGGATCTGGGCTTCTGGGGCCCCTCCACCACCCCCCAGCCCCCCCGCCTCTGCAGAAACACCATGAGTTTTCGGGCTTCCTTCTGCTTCTCAGTGAGGACCTGCCCGCTGCCTGCAGGGCTGGGCCCCTCACCGGGCTCCTGTCCTCGGCGCTGCCCTGGGGCCGCTGGGCTGGCCTCACGCTCAGAGCTCTGGGATATTTCGCACAAGCTGCGTTTCCGTGGCCGGGGGACAGGCTGTGAGTCCTGCCTTGTAACTGGGGAGGGTGCAGAGCCAGGCTGGGTCTGCTCCGGTGGCCGTGAGGGGGCCCTGGGTTCTGCAGCACCAGATGGCAGCGAGTCTGGATGTTTCTCCTCAATTCTCTCCCCTCTTGGGCCTGAGGGAGGGCCTGCGGTGGGAGCCTCCTTGGTCTCGGTGCTGCTCTGCTGTGGCCGAGCTCCAGCCTCAGCCAGGCCCCCTGTGCCTGCCCCTGTGACCAGTACAGCCGAGCCATGCCTGTCCTCACGGCTGGGGACGGCCTCTTCAGGGGAAGAGCCAGACTCTTTGTTCTCAGAGGGTGTGGAAGTGCTGGGATCTCTGGGGCTCTCCAGAGCTGCCCTCGGGACTGTCCCTTGGGGCCTCTCTGGCCTGGGGAAGGGGTGACTCCTAAGAACCATCGAAATAAGGTTTCCCCAGCTAGTTGAGAACTGCCCCTCCTGACTGCCCTTGCAGAGAACCACACTGGGCTTCTGAGGTGCAAGCCTTGACCCATTAGCAGGCCCAGGGGCTGCAGCTGTGACAGGGGATGGGCCTGGGGCAGGGGATGGG